GTGTTTTCCACGGTGGCTGCACCAGTTTCCACTCCCACCAGCACTGTAAGCAGCTCCTTTTTCTGCACACACTTGCCATCCCTTCACTTTCAGTCACTGTGTGTATTTATAGGTAAAGGGAGTTTCTGGTGGGCAGCATATTGTTGGTTCCTGTTTTGTAATCCGTTTCAGCCACTCTGTGTCTTTTAATCGGGGCACTTGATCTACTTACATTGAGGGTTATTATTGATATAGAAACTTGTTAGTGTCATTTTGTTATTTTTTTTTTCTGGTTATTTTATAGACCCATTTTTCCTTTTTCCATTGTCTTCCTTTGTGGTTGAGTGGTCCCCTTTTTTTCATTCAGCAGTAATTATAACCCATATCCTTCCGTCACCCACACAACCACAGATGAGACTACCAGGGTTAGCCAGAGAATGGAGCCACAGACATGGTGGCAATATGAGTCTGGATATATGCATGTTTCACCTTTTGTCCATTTTTAGTAGCATGGAGTAGAAGTGGATGGATACAGGGTTATGAAACTCTTTTATTAACTGTGTTAAAAATAGACAGAAATGATTAATCCCAGCTTACATAGGTATGGAGAAAAAACTATCTCCTAAAGCCCTTAGTATTTAGAAGTATTGCAGTGGTGTCGTGTTTAGCCATTGATCCTTCCTCTGTACTTCCAAAGGTAATTCAGGTTCCTGTTCTACAGGATCGGGCAGAGTAAAAGGAAAAAAATTAGAAGTAGTGAATACACTTATCTAATTTCCCTTCTCCTCTTCCCTACCATCTCCACAATATCCCAAAGATGTGTCCCTTTATTTCCAAGTTTTAACACACGTTTACTCATGCAAACCATTCTTTCAGTCTCTTATTACCATGTCCCACCCAACATAATTACTAAATAGGTACTTAATTCACACATTCTAATTTTTGATCACCCCACTACATTTTGGGTATCATATAATGAGTTTATTGTTGTGATGTTAGCCCATTGTTGTACTGCACCTGCAATAAAAGGGGTCCCTTCATCAGATGACATAGAAACAGAAGTAATTTAAGGCCGCAATCCTCAAATGGTGTAGAGAAGTTTTCTTTGGTTACCAGATGTAAAAACCCATATTCAGAATAAATATACATCATGGTCAAGATCATCTGGAACTGGGAGGAACAGATTGTAGTGGATTTCTTGCTAGGTGGGTCATTGCTACATTCAGTGTCTGATGATCTTATTATTTTTATTTTTTTCTGGTCAATTTTTCTAATAGAAGCTAATCATATCCCTTGATTTGGTACACAGTTTCTCCTGATAAAAACAACACTATCAAATTTTGTATCTCTTGCTTTCGTTTTGGAGTTGGAAGAGTTGTTTCCTTCCTTCCTTCCTTCCATCTTTCTTCTGTTCTCTCATCATTCATTCCTTCCTTTCTTTTTTTCTCCCTCCCTCCCTGTTTCTTTCTTTCTTTCCTTCCTTCCTTCCATTTCCTCCCTCCTTCCCTCTCTAGCTCCTTTCCTATCTCCACTCCCCCTCTTCTTTCTTTCTTTTAGAGAAGTCTTTAGTCTGTCTTGCTCAACTTATTCATAAGAATTTTACTGCTCATGCTGGGCTCTGTACTTTAGTCAGGTTCTTTAGCTACTCTATGGTTGTCATATAATGAAAAAGTCTTAACAATTTTCAGATTAAGATATCAACATTATATCATCAATATATATTCAATCATTAATGAATCAAGGTGCTTTTTAATGAAATCAAATCTAAATCTCCAATAATCATGTTGTGACAATAAGCAGAAGAATTCATATACTTGAGTGAGTGCAGAAGGTATATATTGGAGTGTGTCCTGCATGGAAATTGGCTGTGATTTCTGTTGAAGTAGCCACTGAACAGAAAACATCAGCCAAATGGATCACAGAATACCAATTTCCTTTAGCTTGTTCTGAAACTTGAATGGTTAATGCCATTTTGACTGATGCTTCTGAATATACGTACTAGTTTTTCAGTCTGCTATAGTATACAGTTAACTCCCAAGGTCCATCAGTATTTTTCACTGGCCATGTTTGGCTATTGAATAAAGAATCGGAGGGTAATAATACACCTGTATATAATATCTGCAATGAAAGATGAAAATATTTGATAATCCTCCAGTTTTAAAAACTGGTAGCAGTTTTAAAAATTTACATACAGCAAAATGTTTTTTGCTTTTTGTTGTGGAGATCTATGATATTTGAAAAATACATTGGTCATATAAGCACTGCCGCCAGCTAGATAAGTAGCAATTCTCTCACTGCAGAACTTCCCTCATGCCCTTTCTTTGTACTCACACCATGTTTTCCTTACTCCTGTCCCCTAGGAATCACTGATCAGTTCCTGATAGCTGTAGTGTGGCTTTTCCCAGAGAGTTATGTACATGAAAACAGGATGTAATCTGTGAGTCTGGCTTTCAATTAGCATAATTCATGTTCATAATTCATAATTCAGTGTATCAATAGCTCTTTCTTTTTACTGCTGAGTATTATTTCATTGCATTATGTACCACGGTCTACTGTTAATCCAGTCACTCATTGAAGGACATTTGGGTTGTTTGGGGCATTAGTGGGGCATGCTGCTAAAGAATATTTATGTCTAGGTTTTTGTATGAACATAAAATCATTCTTTTTAAGCATCGTTTTCCTGTTTTTTCATGTTTAAATGACAAATTTAATTTGTTTAATACATATAATTTATTCATGTTATCTGTTTCATCTTAAGTGAGCTATGGTAATTTGTGACTTAAATACATTTGTTTATAGTTGAATTTATTGGCATGCCATTTTCATAATATTTCCTTTTTTTTTTGGTATATGTAAAAACTGCAGTGATGCCATTTCTGTTTTTGCTTATTTGACCAATTTGTGTTATCTCTATTTTTCCCTGATAAGCCTGTCTAAAGGTTTATCAGTTTTAGAGATCTTCTAAAACAACAAGGCTTTGGTTTCCTTGTTTTATATACATTTACATTTTACTTTGGTATTTCAGCTCTTGTCTTTATTGTGTTTTTCTTTTTCCTGCTTACTTTGAATTTAATTTTTTCTACTTTTTCTAATGTCTTGAATAGAGGCTAAGGATTTTAAAGTAGAACCATATTCTTTTCTGGTACAGGTGTATTTCATACTGTTTCAGGGTCATTCTCCAAATTTTGATGTGATTTATCCATTGATATTTGTCTGAAGTAGAGTAGATATTGCTGAAAAGATATTCTGTTTTTTGGGGAATGAAGAGGTTTTGCCAAAAGTTTTTTTTTTTTTCTTTTTTCATCCTCTCCTTGTCTTTTGGCTAAGAGAAAAGGCCTTCCTTGGAGCTTTTATAGTTTGTATCTCTCAGTGTTTAGGGTTGGAAAACTTGAGAATTACCTGTTTTAAATTTTGTTTTAGAAGGCTAAGTCTGTTATGGATCAACTCTGTTAATTTTCTCCACTGTTTGTTTTCTGTTTGATTTCTGCTTATATTTTAAGTTTTTCAAAATTTATACTTATGTTGAGTGTGATTATATTTGTAATTTTTTATAATTAAAACAATTATTGGTTTTCAGTCTTTATTCTTTTATTTTACAGCATTTAATGATAAATTTCATTCTCTGCACTACTTTACTGTCATCTCATGAAGTTTTATGTAGTATGTTTTTAGTATCATTTCAGTCAAAATATTGAACGCTTCTCTTTTGATTTTTTCTTTATCCATGACTGAGTTTTGGGAAAAGTTCTCAGAAGAGACCTAGTAACTTTCAGAATTCTACGTTTATTTTTTCAAATTAAGTTACAATAATTTGAGGAATCATCGTTTTGGCCTTATGAGATAAATCAGTGTGTTGCTCTTCTCATCTTCTTTGAACTCCAAACATTCATATGGTTTGAAGCACACAATTATGATGACATTTCTAATTCTTGGAGCCAAAGTTGTGACTGCTGTTTTGACAGATTGTTTAAGATCATCACCTGAGCTCAGACCCTCCAATTGGCTACGTGAGTTTTGTGGTTGCCTAAGAGAGCCAAACCAGGCAAGACTTAAAACAAGTCCCAGGAAAACACAAACAAACAAAAAAAATTCTCTCAGTGTTCTGGAATGCTTTAGCATTCCGGGTCCATTAGACAAGCAATTTCTAATAAATTTAGATATAATTATGAGTGTTTTAAATCCTAGTTTGTTAAATAATTTTCATAATGGGTCTTGATGTAATATTTTTAAGAACTCATAACTTCTTTCACATTAAAACTTGGATGATTCAGATTATCTTAGTTTTTATTTTTAAGAACCCACTATTTTTCTATTGTCATATTTTTTGAGTCTTTATAAAATGTTATTGAACATATGTTTATCTTTTCTTTATATGTTTCCCTTTTAGAAACATGTTCAACATCAAATATAGAAATAGAGAATGGTTTTTTTCCTGAACCTGTTGTTGTGTATGACATAAATAAACAAACACAATATACGTGTAAATCAGGATATGTAACAACAGATGGTGAAATATCAGGATCAGTTACATGTCTGCAAAGTGGGTGGTCAGCTCAACCGAAATGTATTAGTAAGTAATTTATTGTGTTAGTATTCATTATCCTGTTGATGTACACAAGTTTACTTTAACTTTATTCTTCTTTGAGTGGGCTGATGTGGTTTCATTTAAAAACATAAATAAAAACTTTGAGAAAAAAGTACAAATCATTTTACTTTCAAGATTAATTGCTAGACTATCAGTCCTTTTTTTATTCAAATTTTTTCTACTTTAAAGCATTCTGTAGTTTGGAAATTGGTTAGGAAGCTTTATATATATTGTGATGTAAAGCTGAGACTGTTGGTTAGGAAGCTTTATATATATTGTGATGTAAAGGTGAGACTTATATTTGTTTTTTGGTGATTAGCCTTTTATATCAAAGTCTTTACTCCTAGACATAAAAGTAATATTTTCAGTGCAGATATGGAGCCATAGTGTATAACCTCAGAGTAATTTAAACTTCATAATGTAAATGTTTGGCACTATAGGGTAAGTCCGCTTCTGAATACGTTTCCCTCTTAGAAAATCTTCATAAACATCTAGTAGTGGAGAGAGAGCAATGTTTCTAGATGGTACCAATTTCCGCTGTGTTGGAAGATTTTCCTGCAACACTACCTAGTTGTTTATAAAGATTTTCTAAGAAAAATTGCTCAATTTATGTTATTTATCCCAAAGCTACTCAGTGATATTTTTGAAATGATATTTAACATACTCACTTTAAGTGAAGTGAGTATTTAAGATCTGTATCTCTACTGCTTTGATTTCTTTCTTTTTTTTTTTCAAATTTCTATGATTAGTGTGGGGTCTAGCTGGAAAAAGGAAAACAAAACAAAAACCAAGTCGTCCCCTATCTAAAAGTCATTTTATACTAAAATGTGACAAATTATTCTCTACATGACTTTCTTGCTATGGAAGAGAAAATGTCATATGTAATAAATGTATTGATCTTTTTATTAATGTATTTTTTTATACATATCACAACTACTAATAAGTCTGGCATCTTAATTCACAAAATGTTATTCTGGTTACTAAAAAAAGTAGTATGCTTGTATGTCCTGTTTTTTACTAGCATTGTCATAAATGCATAAGTATAATTGAATTGATAAAAATGCTCTCAAAGTAAATTTTTCAGAGGGTTTAAGTGATTTTAAAAAATATTGTTTAAAAAACATATATATATTTTTATTTTTAGTACCTACTTCAAGAGAATGATTTATCACTGGTATCAGATTATTTTCATATTGTACTTATTTATTAGCACATACTTTTTGATAAACCTTATCAGATTATTTTCATATTGCACTGGTATCAGATTATTTTCATATTGTACTTATTTATTAGCACATACTTTTTGATAAACCTTTTTGTTCTTGTAATGGGAATTATTCAGTTAGATTTAATTCCATTAGAAATGACATCTTCAATTTTATTATGCATTAGAATCTTGTGAAACTCCACTATTTAAGAATGCCAGAACCAAAAGTAACAGGACATGGTTTAAGGTCAATGACACACTGGACTATGAATGCCATGATGGATATGAAAACAGACACAATGACATTAAAGGTTCCATAGTATGTGGTTACAATGGTTGGTCTGATACACCCGCATGTGATGGTAAGTACTATTTTTCTTCAGGATTATTTTTGTTAGGATTAAAATAAATCTGTTTATGTTCTGCTTAAAAATCTAAATTATCTACAGACATTTTAAAGAAACAATGATGAAAATCAATGGGTCTCCCTATGATTTAATGTAAACTGGGAGGAGAGGGTTTTAGAAACACAATGATAATATATTTTTAAAATAGTGCATTAAATTAACGTTTTTTTATGAGCCAGATACATCACAGGTTTGTGATTAAAGTATAATTGCTGCTGTTATCCTAAATGCAAGCTTTCTAGCTGTTTAAAGCTGGGCGGCCATTCCCAAAATTATTGTTTGCCATGACTTCCTCAGCTATTTTGCTGTTCAGTTTCTGCTTTACAACTTCTACCTTGAGTGTTAATTTCTGCAGTTTCTGAGAGTAGCTCTTTATTTAACTTTAACAAGTTCCGTGAACTGCTACCTAATCTCTTTTATGTTTGCCAATCAGTCCATTTTCCAGCGTTAGAAGAGGGTTTGAATTTGTGAGAAAATGAAGGTGTGTAGAGAGCTCCAGGCAAAAGGAACAGTATGTGCAAATCATTGAAAACAAAACGCTTTTTGGGAAATATCAGAGTGAGCAGATTCCAGTCAAGTTGTGGGAGAATTTTATTAGCTGAGGCTAGGTAGGAGGCAAAGGAAAGATTATTCAGGTTAACTCAGGATATGTTAGCATTTGGATTTATTCTATGCTTGATAAAAAAGCCACAAAATAGTTTTAGGAAAAAAATCATATAATTTGGTTTGTGTATTTGAAAGTTCTATGTCTAGTGAGAAAGGTGGGAATTGAGAGATGTGATAGTTGAGGAGATGCAGAGCAGAGGACGGAATTGGCCTTCATTTTGGTGGTGCCAAGTACAGGCGATGGTACTAAATGTTGGGTGTGAGAGGGAGTGAGATCAAGGGAATCACGTGATTGTTTTTCATTTTTTTGTCATGAGCATGTAGGTAAATGGCAATGCCGCTTTTTCATTGTTTTCTCATAAGCATGTAGGTAAATAAAAATGCCATTTTTTTAGGTGGTGCTGACAAGATAGAGGACACTTTGGTAGGAACAACACAACTCTAGACTTGGACACATTATACTTGAGCTGCCCATCAGAATTGGACAAGTACACTGGAGAGTTGGGTATATAGACTTGGATATAGGTCTAGCAAGGAGCTGTGCATTTGGGATTATCACCATATAAAAGATAACATTAAATTGGAAAGGAATACAGACTGATAGGAGAAGAGCACTTGAGACTGAGCCCTGAACATCCCAACCTTCAGATGTTAGACAGGAGAATAATAGATATCAAAGTAGATGGAAAAATGGAGGACGCAGAGAAATAGGAGAAAAAAATCTAAGAATGAAAGTTGTCATGGATGTATAAAGAAGGAAACAATTAAAGGAACAGGAAGTATAACAGACTGATTAATAATGAAGCTTATGGAGACATTCTGTGTGGATTCTAATTCCAGTTTCACCACGTGTTAAGCATGTACTGTGGGCAACAAGCCAAGCCTATTGGAAGCTTTGCTGACTCTTATCTGTAATATGTTTTAATGTTTACATTTGTTCTAATATTTCAATGAATTGTTTTGCTAGTAGACTAAATAAATCATGTATCTTTTTTGCCATAGTTTTTATCACAAAATACAGTCAAGAGAATTGTAATCTTATTACATTTTTATGATAGTTGGCATAATGAATATTTCTAATTCAGTTGATATGTCCAGCTGGATAGATATAAAAATGTAATGGATTTGCAAGAAATTTAGCACAGTCTGTGGTGATAACTCTCTTCCAAGAAGTTTGGTTGTGCAGCGAGTAGGAAGTTCAGAATACTGCTAGAGGAAATTCTGCACCAAAGAGAGGAGATATGAGATTACTGAATGCTGTAGAGGGTTTAGCAGAGAGAGACAGCAGCAGAGATTGAATACGTGACATACACAGTTCCCTGAGAAAATGGGAGCGCAAGGGAATCAGAGGTCCTGTGGAGGAATTAGGCTTTGGTGGCAACAGTGCTACTTACAGCTTCGTAACAGGAGGACGGAAGGAAAATGTGCGTGTGAATCTAGTGCTGGAAAGATGCAGGAGCTGAAGCGCTCTGTTGTGCTCTGATGTATGAGATGAGATCATCTGAGATTGAAGGGGGCACTGGCGAAGGAGGACGAGGGGCACTAGAGAGAGGAAAAAAGGTTTAAAAATGTGGCAGGAGAGGGATGCAAGGTAGACTTGATGAGCAGCGTCTAGAGCCCAGTTACATGAGTCATTCGTGACGTCAACAAACACCTGTTATAGAATAGGAGACAATGGCAACAAACACAAACAAGGGTCTGCCTTTCCAGAGCACGGGTTTGGAGCTTTTATCTTCTGTACACCTTTCAAATCAGTTCATCACTCTCCTTTTAAATCAGTTTATCACGTTACTTTTAATAACCTTGTTTAGATTTTACTGCAATTACCTTGGGTCTTTAGAATAATTTATAGAAAACTCACACCTTTTTTGCTTTGCATTTTTCCTTTAAATAACTCAATCACATCAAAAGTTTATTTTTTGACAAGTATATGTTTAATCTTCAAAGACTTATTTTAAAAATTATCTTTATTCAATTATGTAATAAAATTCACATACACTTACTTAGTGTGCAGGCCGATGACTTTAAAAATAATGTGCCTATATAATTACAAACCCAATCAAGCTAGAAACAGTTTTGATCTTCCAAGAAAGTTCTCTTGTTCCCTTTCCACTCAATCTCGCCCTGAGTCCATTGCACTAGTTAATAAAGATTTTTGTGGGTGTTGTTAATATGGATTAGTTTTGCCTTTCTACAACTTCATATCAATGGACTTATACAGCATGTATTATCTTATACTTGACTTCTTTATTTCAGCAAAATGTCTGTGACATTCTTTCTTTCATGAGTAACTCATTTCTTTTCATTGTGGAATAGTATATCATGATATGGATATACCAAAATTTATCTATTCCACTATTGATAAACATTAGTATTTCCTCATCTTTGACAATTATGTTTTATGAATATTTAAATGCAAGTCTGTGGATGAAAAGAGATTTCCTGTTACTTGGATAAATACCTAAAAGTGAAATTCCTGGGTCATATGGTATGTGGATGAGTATATCTGTAAGTAGCAGGCATACTGATTTTCCTTAATTATTTAATTATTTTTATCATTTATAGTATTTAATAATAATATTCATATTATATTATATTAAGATTTATATTATTTAATAGTAATCATTATTATTTAATTATTTTTATCATTTATAGTATTTAATAATAATATTCATATTATATTATATTAAGATTTATATTATCAAATATTTATATTATTTAATAGTAATCATTATTATTTAATTATTTCTGTCTACTAGTTTTGGGATTAGATTTTTCTTGTTTTTCTAGTGCTTTGAGATTTACCATTAGGTTGCTTGCTTGAAGTATTTTTATGATTTTGATATAAGAGCTTATTGCAATAACTTCTCTCTTAGTACTGCTTTTGCAGTATCCCACAGGTTTTGGTAAATCATATTTGTATTTTCACTCATTTCAACTAATTTGTTGATTTTCTGCTGTATTTCTTCTTTGACCCATCGATCATTCAAGAACTTGTTGTTTAATTTCCATGAATATGTATACTTTCCAAAGTTTTGTTTGTTGTTAATTTATAATTTTATTCCATTGTGGTCTGCAAATATACTTGGTATGATTTCAGTCTTCTTAAGTTTGTTGAGATTAAATTTGTGACCTAACATGTGGTCTATCCTGGAGAATGATTGGTGTGCTGATTAAAAGAATGTATATTCTGTTGTTGTTGTTGGATGAAATGTTCTGTATAGGTCTGTAAAGTCCAGTCTGTCTAAGGTTTTGTTTAAATCCAAAATTTCTCTGCTGATTCTTTGTCTAGATGATCTGTCCAGTGCTGAGAGTGGTGTGTTAAAGTCCCCAACTATTACTGTGTTGGCGTCTATCTCTCCCCTTAGATCCAATAACAGGTGCTTTATATATCTGGGTACTCCGATGTTGGGTACATGTATATGATTGTTATACCTTCTTGCTGCATTGATCCTTTTATCATTACACATTGTCCTTCTTTGTCTCTTTTTATAGTGCTTGGCTTGAAGTCTATTTTATCTGATGTAAGTATGGCAACTCCTATTCATTTTTGGTTTCCATTTACATTGAATGTCTTTTCCCATCCCTTCACGTTTAGTCTATATGTGTCTTTATTGGTGAAATGAGTTTCTTGCAGGCAGCGTATAGTTGGGTCAGGTTTTTTAGTCTATTTAGCCAGTCTATATGTTTTAAGTGGGGAATTTAGTTCACTTACATTTAGTGTTGTTATTGAAAGGTATTGCCTTATACCTGCCATTTTATTAATTTCTCTATGGTGGTTCAATATTTCTTATGCTCCTTTCTGTCCCTTTTATTGTTTATCTTTGCTGTTGGGTGTTTGTTTTTATAGTGATAAAAAGAATTTTCTTTTTATTTCTCATTTGTGAATCTGTTCTTCTAGAGGTGTTTATTCTTTCTCATGTATTTATGGTGACATATCTCTCTCTTTTGATTCCAGATGTAAGACCCCCTTGAGGATTTGTTGAAGAACCCATCTTTTGGTGGTGAATTCCCACAGTTTTTGTTTGTCTGAGGAAGATACTATTTCTCCTCCATTTGTGAAGGAAAGCTTTGCTAGATACAGTGCTCTTGGTTGGCAGTTTTTTTTCTTTTAGCACTATGAATAAGTCATTCCACTCTTTCCTGACCTGTAGGGTTTCTGTTGAGAAATCTACTGTTAGCTTGATGGGAATTCGCTTATAAGTAATTTGATGCTTTTATCTTCCTGTTTTTAGAATTTGTTTTCTGTGACTTTTGATAATTTGACTACAATTGTCTCTGGGAGGTCTTTTTTGGGTTGAATCTCTTTGGGGATCTTTGAGCTTCTTGCATCTGTAAGACTATTGATTTCCCCATATTTGGGAAGTTTTCAGGTATTATTTCATTAAATAAGCTTTCAATGCCTTTTTCTTTCTCTTCCCCTCTGGTACACTCATAGTGTGAATGTTTATATGCTTAAGGTTATCAGAAAGTATTTGTAGGTTTTCCTCCTTTTTTAAAATTCTTTTTTTAATGCTAATTCAAAAAGCCTGTGTTCTAGCTCAGAGATTCTTTCTTCTGCTTGTCTAGCTTGCTGTTTATGCTCTTGATTGTACTTATTATTTTGTTAAATGAATTCTTCAGCTCTAGGATTTCTGCTTGATTATTTTTTATTGCTTGTATCTCTTTTTTGAATTTCTCATACATGTCTTCACATTTGTTTTTTTACTTCATAGTGATTTCTACCTATTTTTTCATCTATCACTCTGAGTTTTCTTAGTATTGCCCTTTGAAATTCCTCCTCAGGCAATTTTTCAATTTCCTGTTGTTTGGGAAATCGACATTGGAGAGTTGTTGTCTTCTTTTGGGGGAGTCAAGCTTCCTTGTTTTTTTTTTTTTTTTTCTCTTTTGTCTTTTTTCGTGTCCGGCAATGGATTGCAACCCTCAGTGTCGCGCCCGTACCAGACCGGGACCGGCAACGGGATCACAACCCTCGGTGTTGCGCCTGCACCTCGCTCAGCCAGTGAGCAGCTGGTCTGTATGTGGGATCCGAACCCTCGGCGGGAGCGCCGCTGCACTCCCAAGCAGCGCACTGTAGCAGTGCGCCACCGGGCCGGCCCTTCCTTGTTTTTTTTCATACTTTTCATATCTCTGCATTGATGCATCTGGTGGTGTAATCACTTCTTTTAATTCTAGGAGGGGCTTTAGGAGGGGGAGACTTTTTCTTGTAGAAGTACTGTATATTCAGTCAGGTTTAGCATTCTAAATTTGGATCTGGGTGAGAGCAGTAGTGCAGCCTTTGTGGGACTTCTTCAGGTGTATCCAATCTTAGAGTTGTCTGTGGGTGCTTTTGTTGCCTACATGGAGGGGCCCTCTGCAGTTTCTTATTAGGGTGGGTTTCTTGTTGGGGTTGGTGATCAGCTGTCAGTCAGCAAGCAGATATATACTGTTGTAGCAGTTCCTGGGTCTGTAGAGCGCCACTGGCTCAGCTGTTGAGCCTGGAGCAATCCTGAATGGATGCTGCAGGACCCAGTGGCTGTAGAGAGGAAAACCTGCTACCCTATCAGCTGTTGGTTTGGGAGTGGGTGTACACAGCTGTCACAGGGCCTGGCAGCACTGAAGGTGGATGCCTGATCAGCTGTCAAGATGGATGCAAGCCTGTAAGGGTGCAGTTGAGGCTGGCAGCTCTGCAGAGGCCTGCCTTGAGGAATCTGATCCCCTACCTGGTCCAGTCAGTCTGGGAGCAGATATACACTGAGGCATCAAGTCCTGGGAGTTTTGAAGAGGGCCATTAGCTCAGCTGTTGAGCCTGGAACAAGCCTGTGTGAATGATAAAAGACCCAGAAGCTCTTTGGAGGTGCACTGTAGGAAGGGAAAACTGCTACCCAATCAGTTGTTGAGCCCACTCAAGTCTTCAGCAGTGAAGCTGAGCCCTGCAGCCCAATAGAAGCCTGCCTTGGCGCGGGGCTGCTGTGTGAGATCAGATGCTGGGGTCTTGTCCTTTTGTCTGTCATAGGCTCTAGGCAGCATGTGCTTTGGTGCCACCTATGCCTGAGTGAGCACATCGGAATGCAGGCAGGGCCTCCAGACAAGGGAACTCAGGTTCACTGGGGCCTGTGCAGGGGTCTAGGATCCAAATAGCTGGGATTGTGGTCATGCTGGCACCCATGCGGGCACATGGAGGGTCACAGGAGGAGGTGGGGCTTCCACTGGGCTAGCTGTGCACCGTGCAGGAACCCATGGGTTCAGCCCCCATGGACCGTGCAAGGCAAGCTGCAAATGTGGGGAACCACTGCACTCTAGTGCATTTTCTGCTAGGTACCTCTACCTGTTTGCCTGGGGGGGAGGGGTGCTGAGCAAGTTCAGATGCTAGGGTCTCAGTCTTTCTGTCTGTTTCTAGGTGCCAGGCAGCCTGTGCTTTGGTCTTGCCAGTGCCCAAGTGAGCACAGCAGAATGCAGGCAGGGCTTCCTTCCAGGCAAGATGCCTCAGTCTCACTGTGTCTGGTGCAGGGATCTAGGCTTCAAGAAGTTGGGTTGTGGCTCTGCCAGTGCCTATGTGAGGATGTGGAAGACCCCTGTGAGAGGCGGGCCTGCTGCCGGGTTATCTGTGAGCTGTGTGGGCACTAGTGGGTTCAGCTTACACAAGCCATACAAGATGGGCATGAATGTGGGGAACCACTGTGCTTTAGCAGATTTCCCACTCAGCAGGACTACCTGTCTGCCTTAGGGGGAGCAGAGCAAGTGCCAAATGAGTTCAGACCTGGGTTCCAAAAAGACTGGGGGCACTCTCCCGAGGAGGGATCACTGGCATTTGTGGCGATGGTGGGAATAGCCAGGATCTATTCCAGTGTACCTTCTCTCCACCTGGTTTGGGACTAGTCCCTGCAGCAGGGCGGAGGCTGGTTGTCTTGTTCTGCTCTCTATGGTGCTGTTCCCTTCCTCCACGCTTAACAAGAATCTCCTCATTCTCCTGGTGTTCTCTGCACTGTGCTTCCCCAGGTTCCAGTCAAAATAGATTTGTTTGTTTGTTGCTTTGGTCTCTTTTTATGGGGAGGGGACTAGCACGAGACCTCTCTAGTTGGCCGTCTTCCAGTTTTGAGAAAAGATATTATAGAAGAGAGGATACTTGACAAATTTTTATGGATCTTATATACAATTAATACAGTTTATTTTTAATATATACACCCTTACTGTTAATAATTCTGGTACTTAAATAGGTAGCTTAACTATTAATCCACAAAATTTTACTGTTTTTAAAATAATAACATCATAGCATCCTAAAAGCACACTTTAATAACAACCAATGACATCTCCATAAGTAAAATTACATATGGCCAAATACTGTTAATGTTTTTATACAATTTTAATAATAAGAAAGGTAATATATAAAAATAAATTTTTGCATTGTAAGTAATTATTTCAGCAGAAAATACCACTGGTTGCCACATTATTTTTAATTGTAGTCAATTTATCAGCACACCTGATTGATAAAGTTTTTTATACCTATAATGAGACTTCCTTAGTCGGATTATACATGATATGGCACAGAAATGCAATCTTCAATTTTACTTTGCTTTAGTATTTTGTGATATGCCAGTATTTGAGAATGTCAGGGCCAAAAGTAACAGCACACGGTTTAGGCTCAACGACACGATGGACTATAAATGCCATGAAGGTGAAAGCACCACAGGTTCCATAGTATGTGGGGAAGGTGGCTGGTCCCGTTTGCCAATATGCTATTGTAAGTATTTTTATTCAGTATTTCTTTTTCCTAGAATTAAAAAAAAACATCCTTATTTGAGTGTGCATTATCTCCAGACATTTCTAAGAACCGAGGCTGAAAATGCATTATGTCTTCCACAGAAATCAATTAAGATAATTAATATGCATAAGGAGCTTTATTTAGTTTCTGATAATTTCCAATAAAATGATTGATTTTTTTTCTCAAAAATAAAATACCTTCTTTTCAGATCCTACAGAAAAGTGTGGGCCTCCAAAAGCTATTAGCAATGGAGACATCACCTCCTTCCTATTAACAATGTATCCTCCAGGATCAAGAGTTGAGTACCAATGCCAGTCCTACTACACACTTCAGGGTTCTAAATATGCAACTTGTAGTAATGGCGAGTGGTCAAAGCCACCAAGATGCATAGGTAAGTTTTAACGTTCTTCTGGTTCCTAAGGGATCAGGGTGATAAGTTTGATATTAGCCTGTTTATAGTGGAATTTTCATGGATGATGGCACTAGGATGATGGTACTGAGCACCACAAATAACAGATCTTCACAAATAGCATCCAGTGACTGATCACATATAAAATATGGTATCTCAACTTAACTGATTATGGTGTAATCAGTTTAATGATTACAGAAATGGGTAATCATTTTCACATTATTAACATTTATATAGAGTTTTCAAAGAGATTTTGGTGGGCCGGCCCGGTGGCGCACTGCTATAGTGCACCGCTTGGGAGTGTGGTGGCGCTCCCGCCGAGGGTTCGGATCCCACATACAGACCGGTTCCCGCTCACTGGCTGAGCGAGGTGCAGGAGCAACACCGAGGGTTGCGATCCTGTCGCCGGTCCCAGTCCGGTACGGGGGCAACACTGAGGGCTGCGATCTGTTGCCAGACATGG